TACCACAAAACGTCATATGTACTTTCACATAAGTGAATCATTGAAATCGGGTCACATTCTGTTATGCTTAAAATGTTGACAATCACTGGCTATAGATTTCTCTGGACCAATCGCAACGTGAGAGTCTTATCGATCGTTCTAGAACCCAAACATAATAATAAAAAATGTCCATTGTGGAAAACGAAATGATAATTTGATCTAAGTAAAAGTTTTTATTTCTTCCTGATTTGTAAAAAATCCTCATGTAATATTATACTAGCTGAATTATGGAAAATACGTTATTAAAACCAAAACAACTTTTATGAAGTTTAAATTCGCAGGCCTGTGTAATTATTAAGAATCAAATGACTATCATAACTAGCTTGGGAAATGCTACATTTTGAAATGATTATTAAGGTTCAATTTACTACAGGTTATACACTATCAGAACTAGCTGAGATAATGTTACATTCATAGATATTTATTAGAGTGCATACATCATCATAACTAGCTGGGATAATATCAACTACATGTTACATTCTTACATAATTATTCAAACTGTTAGGATAATGCTACTCCAACTTATATTGTAGCATAACTTGACGGTAATGTTAATTTTATCTATATAATACATTTGTAGGATGTTGTTGTCTCTGACTGACACAAGTTCTAGTTGATTTTATTTCAGACTACAGGATGATTTACTTTAATTAAACTAATCAGAGAAAACAATAAACTGTAGTTGATTTTACTTCACTGAGTACGCACTGACTTAGTTTTAAAGTTGTCGTAAATAAAACTAAAGAGTGTTGTAATTTTCAAATAAATCTTATAATGAATTACATAATGACACATAGTTTAAATCGAAAGATGTTCAAAGTTCTGATGTATAGAGAGTACGATCGTTTTTACCACACAGAATAAGCTGAAATTGAAAGTTTGCAAACTAACGCAAGATATTAGACTTGAAAATCTGATATTGTTTAAAACAACTGAAGAGTTTACGTGCTAAGTCAGTGATCACTTTGATCAAAACCGAATCATATAAATGAAGAACTGTTTTCTAGACAGAATGTAATTTTTTGTAGCGTGACTGTATAGTATGCAATACTTCTGTATATTCATTCCTGCTCTTGACATTTTGATGTATGTGGCCATTATAACACTCCCAGAAACGAACAGGATCTGCGTTGTGTGGAAGACGCTTTTCGTTTAATTTTTTTTACGAAAATTCATAATGGTGTGTAAAATACATATATGAAAAAAATTCAATTATTTACTACTGAGGTATAATTTTAGGGCAACTTAGTGAAGAAATTACTACGTCGTTTTGAGTGAAATGTAATTTTCTATTCTTTTCCTACATTTTACTTCAATTTGTATGCAACCCTACAGTAAGTAAATCAAACGCTAACTGTAAGCAAATATATTGCTTTTTTAAGGATAGCATCACGTTTAGTGTTTTACAAAACTTAAATAAAGCATACGTGTGACTCACAATTTTCTAAAAACATTCGGTTTTCTTATATCAACAGATTGTCTTAAAGTTTCAGGATTGTGTTAAAAGTGAAACTGTCATCTGCTAAGTGATTCCAGCGCAATTACTAATTTTCAAAGCTTATTAGCGCTGATTCATTTTGGTAACTTTCACAAAGTGCGTGTCTCTTTACAGTCCTAATAAACAATTATTTATTATTGTTGTTGATTTTAACTAAGTGTCAAAGTAAGCTTATTAAGCCAAAATTGCCATTGATCATGCTTAGCCTACTTCCATCTTATTCCATTTAAAAATATATTTAAGATACTTGTTAGGCTTGTATTATATAAGTATATCATGCGCTTCTTTTTTCCTATTTTCATATAGTATTATTCTGAATTTATAATTCATTTTATGTATGTGCAGGTTTCACATTATATGAAGTCAAGAAAGTCGTTAATTGATGTCGTTCTAACTCCCTTTGATCCTTGTCATTATATTGGATCACACTTGTTTTGCTTCTGGTAGAATTGGCTGTAATGCTGCACGCTGTGTAAGGTCGACAGCTAGAATCCTTCAACAGTAGTTCAGGCGGTATGTCGAGGTTATGCTTAAATGAGAATGGCCAGTCACGTGGTGTCGCTAGTCACTCTGGATGAATACGACGTTTCTTGCTAAATAAGGAAAGTTTATGATAGTTCAGCAGATGATTTTGGCCTGATCAGTTGAAGATATAACATCCAGTAGAATCGACCATCCCGTTTTTAATAACAGCAAGTATACACACTTTGCGAGTTTAATAAAAATATTCCATTTTGAGAATTGTGTCCCGTCTCTTTCCTTTTAAGGCTCTGTTATTCAGTACTACTTCGTCATAAATATCTTGAACTTCTTGTTAAATAGACGTACGCCATTGATCTGATACACTGGCTCTCAGACCTTTTCGTGGTGTAACGCACTACCACCTTCGCTGTGAACTTGCTTCGAAAAATCCCAAGTATTGATAATAATAATACTTTATTAACCTTTTATTTAGTAAAATGGATGGAGATGGATTAAACCTGGAATTACTAAATTATAAATAAAAACATTACATCGGCTCAAAGATGTGGAAAATAACGGTGACTTAACACTTTTAATGTAAGCTATAACTCTTGTTTCGGAGTGGGTGTAGTCTTGTTAGTCATAGTACTGTTTTCACATCTTTCAGGTTTCTCGGTTGGACAGCGGTAAGTTTACAGATTTACAATGCTAAAATCCAAGGTTTAATTAACCCAGTGTAGCTTTGCTCTGAAACAAACAACGTATCTTTCATCAGTCGATTACGCTCCTATATTTTCTGTGTATGTGTATTTTCTCATAGCAAAGCCACTTCGGGCTATCTGTTGTGTCCACCGAGGGAAATCGAACCCCTGGTTTTAGCGTTATAAATCCGTAGACTTACTACTGTCTCACCGGGGGACTTCATTTTGTGTTGCAGAGAAACTTTATATAGAATTGTCATAATTTAATTTATTTAGTCTTATTAGATAAAACTAAATAATTATTTTTCTGAATATTTTACAGAACAACATTTTCCAGAGTATTTGCGACCCCAATAAATCACACTCTGGAAAACTCTAAAAGTTGATTTAATTCGACCTTAATATACCACAAGCTATTATCCCCATTAGATCTGTAGATATTTTGTACTTATAGATCAACAAGTTGTTATATAACATTTCCTTATATGCGCATTAAAAATTAAATAACTCGGTCATTAGATTTAATCAAAATTAATATATATATTTTTTTCTGGAAAGTGTCTTGTCTATCCTTCAAAATGGCGCAGAAATGTACTTTGACAATTTCGAAATTACCTCGAAAATGCAAATGAAATAAGCTAGATAACTTTTTTTTAAACATTACATTTAGTCTAATGTACACAGTTAATTTAAAAAAGCGTATTTAAAAAAAATGTGAACTGTAGGAAACTTTTATAATGACTTAGATAATAATTTGGAAAATAAATTTTACATACTCGAATATATTCTATATACACAAACGTTAGTAGCTTGTTACTCTGTTTATTAATGATGTAAACAACGGTTTACAGTGATAACACCCGCACAACTTTCTCCTGAATGATA